ATGTTCCTCTAAACTAGTAAAACAGTACAAATCCAAAGCAGAGGTTTTTCCTGGAAGTGAGGAGGCAGGTGTAGTTTGGTGTTTGTGCTCAGAACAGCAGCATCTGGCTAATTCAGGAATAATTTTTAAAACTCCTTGGGATTCCTCCTGCACAGAACCAGGGCAATAAGACTTCTGGTAATCATCATCTGGGGCACTCAGTCCTGTAATCAGTATTTACTTCTGAGATAAGTTTTGGAGATGAGTATGCCTGAACAGCTGTAAATCCAGTTACCTGCCAGTTCAGCAATAGGATGAGGAATGTGGTGGGTAGTAGGGAAGTGAAAATAGAGTCTGTTACTGCATGGGGAGCAGGATTAGCTGGGAAGACCTCCTGAATTAATCTCAGTAATTCACTAATGTACACCAGAAGTTTCTTAGTGCTCAGATGAAAGGTTTTCCAGAGCACATCACCTGAAAAATGGGCCAGAGACATTCTCCTTTAAAAAGGTTAAATAACTCGACTGCAGTTAGCTAACACAAAGAATCCATTGTTTGAATGGAGGTATCTTTAGCAGCAAACAGAGATTTGAAATCTTACCATTTTTATAATTTTGTCTGAAAATAGTAATATTTATTTGATGCTGCTAAGGTTTCAGGCTGTTTAATCCTTGAATAAAAAAACAAAGTTACCTTAATTGTGTGAGGACAAAATGGTTTTTCCTTTGGATGAGCAGCCAGCCATATGTGGTTGTGGAAGAGAACTTTAGGGCAAGAATAGGACAAAAAAGATAATCAGGGCACAACTTTTTCTAAGGTCACACTGAGTTTCCTTATTTCCTATGGGAAAACCAGAGAAATTCCTGTGCACACTTACCCTACATTATATTAAGGCTCCTCGCCTATCTCCTATTTGCAGTATTTTTATGTAGAAATGACAAAAGAAACTTTCCCTTTTGGATGGGCAAATGTGGCTCTGGCACCCTTCAGGATTTATCTTAGGAAAAGATAGGTGAGAGAGAAGATTACACCTCCTTAAATGAGAGGAGGAAGGAAATACTTATCCTTGTCACCAGTGACCTGAAGATATGCCAGGCCAGGAAGAAAAAAAAGCCTGAAACAGTCTTTAATCAAAGTCAATATAACATTATAACCCTGCCACTTGTAAATGGGAGGAAAAATGTGAACGTGGATCTCCCTATCAGACCAGCCATTTCTTTCCCTTTCTGCACATCATGTCAGTATCAAAAATAATTCCCAAACATGTTCCAAGCTATGATTTGCCTAATATCTCTCTCTCTCCTTCCACTCCAGACCCATTTCTTCAAAATCCTTCTCAACAGAGATATGTATCACATTTGGATTTCTATTCTTCACACAACAAAAAACTCAAATTACTGAGTCAACTCATGTTGACTGCTGTCAACATGAAAATTTGCAATGTCTCAGGCACCCCCACTGGAAAGGTCGGAAGCAACTTCCTTGCCCCCTTCCTTAGAGAATTATTCATTGCTGCTCTTCCTTTTCCTCCCACATTCCAGAGCAAGCCCCCAGCTGCCCATGCCCACTGCATCTCTCTCTCGTGGCTGGTTTGGACCCTGGTTGGAGGGGTGAGAGGGATATGCCAGCCCCTGCAGGCTGCTCCGTATGCTCTGTTCTCAGGGCTGTTTGCCGTGCGGGCCGCAGGCTTCAGGCCTTTGAAGGGTCGAATACCATCTTTTGATTTACCATGGCTGATGGGTATGGGAAACCTTTACAACTGAAACACACAGAAGAGTCAACAAAAAAAAAAAAAAAAAAAAGAAAAAAAAAAAAGAAAAAAAAAGAAAAGAAAAAGAAAGAAAAAAAAGTAGGGAGGACCTTAATAAAGACACAAATGATAATAAGTAATCAAATGGAATAGATCACAAAAGAGAAGAAAGAGAAAGCTCTTAGTAGTAGTATTAAATGACATAAGAAAAGCACAATTAAATAATGCACCCCTCAAAACAGTCCTTTTTCACACATATCTATCATGGGTTAGATGCTCAGGGGATATTGATATACAGCTAGTCAGCACCAAGCACACTCAGATCTTCAGAGGTGGTACTGATGACTGTTTCTCACTGGTAAGGAGATTTTGGCAAAGTCAGGTAAAGATTTAGTTCTTGTTTGTGACATTTGGGCTATGAGCAGTCTCCGTATAGAGTTATTGTGACTTAGAGTAAACAACTGGAAATGAATGGCTCTGGTAAGGTGATTCTTCCTCAAATTCTGTTCTTCAACAGCAAGGTAACTGCTGTTTTGGCAGAAGGAAAGTCCTGTTTCAAGGACATTTTCTGACAGTTTTATAAATCTGAATAAAGGGCAGGTGAAGCTCAGTCTGGGTTCCAAAACTCTAAACTACCCCTCTGTTGAGTTAGACACAGGAGAGTGCTGACAGGTTTCCATTGACCCAGCCTATAGTCACTTCAGGGAAGATTCAACCTCACAAAACTTTACAGCTGAAAAGCTGACAAAATGTGGCATACACATTGCTTCAGTCCCTGCTACTACACAGAATCAGCCTTTAGTTTACACAGGGGTTTGTTTAAAGATGTCCCTGCATTAGGCTGTCAAAAACACATCGTTTCCCAACATGTGTAGACCATCTGTCAAATCTTTAGTCACATATTTTAGGAGGCAGACAGAGTTGAACAGTCCACCTCTAGGCTAAGTGATGGCATAACAAATCCCAGTGAGTGCCAAAAGTGACCAATGCCAATCAGACTTAAAATGTTGACAGGTCCTGAGGGAAAATGCCAGCATGATATAATGAGAACTGGAAAGGAAAAAGTAAACTTTAAAAAATAAGTATCTTCAGGGTGATATAAATATCCCCTCCTTATATCCACTATTCGGGGTCTAAGTCTAGGAGGCTGCAAACACCCAAAATGAGCAAATTCCCCTAATTCTCATTCATTTTTAAGAAGATCTAACAGAATCAAACAAGTGGTATCTTTCTCAGAAGAAAAAGCAACAGTTTTTTATGAAGTCTGGCAATTTTCATGCTGTAGTACTTTTCATATGGGAATATCAAAGCTGATAAAAGCAGTCCTTACTAAAATACTAGGACATAGCTAGTCAGCACCAAGCATACTCACATCTTCAGGGTGCAAAGAATTCTCCTTTCAACAAGTAGAGGAACTAGGGCTTGAAATGTAAAAGAACTGGGCTACAAGAGCATATTGTAGAGTTAGGCAGATACTCAGTTGACCCATCACTTCTCCAACAGAAGCATGCCACTACCAATCTTTCAGTGAATAATTTTATTTTCTGAGAAAAAAAATAGGCATAATTCTCAAGAAATTAAACAGGGGAAATAGAATCTTATTTTTCTTGATTATTAGCAACTAAGTGGATCAGAAGAAAATGCAAACACATATAGATAGACAAATGCTCTGGGGTTTTGTAGAAGATTCTCATTGCACATGTAAGGAGGCTCAACAGCAGTTTTTCTGAGCTGCTCTCCAGAGAAACCCTGCAAATGTATGAAATTTTCCTTCACTTAGAGTTAATATAGGCAGAGATGGCTACCATCAGAGTGCTGTTTCTCTTTATTTGAGGAGTTACTGACACAGCTGAGGTTCATCTATTCCATCTGTCCTATAGGCCAGTCTGGATAGCACAGCAAGTGCTCTTATACAGTTATGGACTCAATAGTGCTTTATGCTTCTTCAGTCAAGCTAAGTAGAGCAAATATGCAAATATATGGGGGGGTTTTTTTGGTTGGTTTTTAGGTTTTATTTACTTGAAGGCAAGAGATTCTATAGACTTTTAGACAGACACTTTTCTTTTAAGAAATATGAACTTGTTTGATGCATCTTCTTCACTTTCTTATTCAAAAAGTAAATAATAGGGTCTGCGTTACAATTTCAAAGCCAAAAAAACCCCCAAATATTAGATGCAAATTTAAAATAAAGCTAATTCCAGAGGACAACACATTTTACAAATAAAGCTGCTACATGGTTTGCTCCTGGTAGCCACAGCAGGGCTCTGAATATGGTGATACTATTAGCTAAAATAATGTGAAACTTGTTCTAGTGGGCCTTAGAACTTTAAAAGCTGGCAGAAGTTTTCACAGACCATACACAAACCTTCATATGAAATAACCTACACATTAAGAGGTATAAGATTATGCACTATTATGTTAGTTTTGCCTCTGTGAGTCAGATCTCTTTTTGTTTATATTCCTAAATTCACATGAAGCAACAAGCTACATCACTGGAAAGTGAAAGAAAGCTTCAACTCATGTATCTACATTCTTTAAAAATCTGTTATTCTGTAGCATACATAAAGACTGGCAAGAAAACTAATTTAGGCTAATCTAACAGCACATTCACTCCCAATTGTTCTTGTATTGTTGTTATTGTTGGACTTGTTTCTAATTGTCTTTTTAAATTATTTTCTGGGAAAGTGTAACTCTGAGGAGACAGAACACAGTCCTTTGGGATGAGGGGGATGCACTTTTATTGTTGTTAATTTCTTTTTTATAAAGACACAGCAAAAAGACCAGCCTTTTTAATCAGATGTATAAAATATAGCAAGCTATATCAAATGCTGACAAATTATGCAAAGGGCAGGGGGTTCACAGGACTTCTGCCTGCCAACACATCAATTTTTCTTCCTTTCCATGTTTGTCTTTGACTGTTTTGAGTGATGCTGGGTGAATGAGGGATGTAACTGATCAAAAGATGGACCAAGTAGCATGTTTCACACAGAGCTCACCAGTCCCAGACCAAGAAAGGAAACTTAAAAATTTAAAGACTTAAAAAAAACAACACTGTCCATTAACAAAGAACTGACAGCAAATCTTCATGCAGCAATGCAGAGGAGAATTTCTCTCCGCAAGAGACTATAATTATAAAAGTTTCAGCAGTTATTTTAGAAATCAATCCAATCCAATCAAACCAACGGAAAATAATGAAATCATTTTTTAGAAAACACTAATCACAAGCCCAAATTAATAGTGAGGAGGGCAGTGGGAGGTGTTCATACGATACCTAAATTGACCATGAGCTTGACCCGGCCTCCATCCAGCTCGAGGCGCAGAGTGTCCGCAGAGTCCCGGGACGTGGTCGCCATCAACAGCCCGTAGGCACGCTGGGACATGAAACGGAAGGACACGTCCTCTGCTTCTGTGTGCATGACCATTGGCATGATGATCTTCATGTACATGCTGCCATCATAGCTCAAGATAGAGGCCTCTGCAAGGAATCAGCAAACAATTGCAAAAAATGAGAAGTTACACCTCTGAAGAGCCTTCACATTTACCACAGAGCACTGTGTTTACAGAATCCATAGCATTTGCCCCAGAAAGGTATGTAACTGGGGAAAAATGCAACATTTAACTGCACCCAGAAACCCTGCCAGGCAAATATGAACAGCAAAGAAAGATATGGTGTTCACTGCAACTGCTGACAGCAGTACCTATGGACACATAATTCCCAAGGTCAAGCATGTTAGGACAGAGCCCCTTTGTGATTATAAGCTAGCAAAGCCTTCGTTTTTCACATCTCCTTCATTGCACTGAAGTCCAGCCTTCCCAGGACTAGCAGTAATGACTACAGCAACTAGAGTTCTAATTTCTGATACTCTTGCTGTTGGTTATTTAGAGAGGAACTTTATTTCATTGTTATCAGTTTAAAGACAAACAACTGTATAAAGTGAATTTCCTAATAGGTCTTTTCTAAATCAGATTTGTTCCATTTTTTGATTTTATATTTTTCCACTACTTAATAACAACCAGTGTTGGTAGAGCTCTGCTGACATAACCAATGCAAATGAAGAAAGGAACAAACCAAACTCCATTGCAAGTGCCATTCAAATGCAGGAAAAGTTAGAAGATAGAGGCACAATGAAAGCCAGTAGGAGGGGAAAGGAGTGAAGAAAGAAGTTATATTTTTCTATCATCTCTGAAGATAGAAAAGAAAAGAAAATTGGAATTTCAGCTGAGGAAAAGAGTTAAATTTAGCATTCTCTATTTGTTCAGGGTCTTGCCTGCAGAAAGTGATATTCTCCTCTAAGGGGTAGAATTAAAGCCTTGTGTTAGAACTGCAGCAAGCACTACAGCATAGCAATCATTTTTTCTTCACGGAATATGCTCAAAAGCATTTTCATCTGCAAACTTTACTAATCTACATAAATACATTAATACATGAATCAGAGCATTTCTATTCCCCACAGCCAACCCCTATCAAAGGCAGAGCTGTAGACATTGCTCCATATAGGGCTTCTACCATAAAACTACATACCAAAATCCCAGAGTTTTAAAAAAAAAAAAAAAATAGACTGGTTCAGCTTCCTAGAAACATGGATGGATTGCTCTAAAGCTCTCGTACCAGTACCTCATCCAGTTCAGCTCAGCTGGAGCTTTCTCAAGTGATTGACTGGGATTCTCTCCAGGCACCACCACCCCACCACCCAGCCCATCTAATTTAACCAACTGGAAAACATGTATTTGGAATACAGATGTTCTCCTCATGTTTTCCTTAGTCCCATTTTTCCCAGCCAATGAGAGCAGAACTTCCATCAGGAAACAGCAATCTTGGCAGAGCCAAACCTTACATCCTCTCAATGTCTAAATGTCAGATGCTACAGTAGGGTAAATGGGTGGGAAACTGAGGAACAGCCAAATGTCCATGCCATAAAATACCCATGGCAAGCTCCAAAATGGCCAGTAACAGAACTGTTAATGCGATGCAATAAATATACAAATGAGGTGATAGATCAATATATAAATATTAAGCTGATAAAGTGACAGAGAAGACCCTCCAAAACATTTAATGGGAATCACTAAGTTGTGCTGGTGCAGCAAACCACCATATTAATAAGTTGGTAAGCAGCACATCTGCAGTCACAGGACACACAAACATATTAAGAAAACTTTTCTTTATATGTTTGGGTGGATGTTTGGGTGCACCACTAAGATGAACAACATCCCTACTCATCAGTTTTCTTAGCTGCATGTACCACACACTGTCATGATCTGTACAGAGAAAGCTTTCTACACACATCACCCACTCAGCCATTACATTACACACATCTCTGGTACCAGCTGCCAGTGCTCCCCTGGGGTCGCACATCTTCACTTGGCCAAGAAACAGAGAAGGAAAGAAAGATTCTTTTCCAAGGTGGAAGAATACTTTCTTCTTTTCAAAGTGCAATTCTCTTCCCCCTCACGTCTGCAGCTCTCACTTGCCACCCACAGCTGCAAGCTGGAACTAAATGTACTGTACATTATACATACACTCAAAGGCAATGCCTATGTACACACAAACCTTTCTTGCTCTCTTTCCTCTCTCTCTCTGCAGATTGTATTAGAAAATGCAGTCAGGCATGAAATGGCTCTTTTGACGCCTTCAGCTCAGATGTGCCTTGCATGAAACAGTTGCTGGCCCTGGCACATGAATAGCTGGGAGAAGGGGGTTGGAAGATATGGGGACTATGTGGGAGTAGCTGACACAAGTGTCCCAGCTCTGCTGCTTCCATCTCCACAGTGCCATGCATTAGGTGCTTTGAAAAGATGAGTTTTCTGCAGTGATTAGAACAAACCAAAAGCATGGTAATAATAAGTCTCTTCCCTTCAGTAAGAACTTGCATTCTTCAGCTTTACTGATCCCAGTGCCAGACAATTACTGTTCTTAGACTAGAAGTCTCAACCCTTACTATTATACTTATGTAAGGAGGACCTGAACAATACTCAAAATTTCTGAAGATGACATAAAAGTCTAGACAGCGTTTCAGCTGACATCCCACAGCAGCCTAAATCAGGTATTACTGTCCCTTCTCCAGCCAGTCTGCTACAAACACAGTGTGATGAAACTTCTTAACAATAAAGCAGATAAAAATAAAAATCTTGAAACAGTTGAAGAAACAGTCTCCACACAACCCCAGGAGACAATGTTCTGCTCTTGTGTGTGCCCTATGCACTTGATGTATTCCAAAAATGACAACATTTCATTCTCACTTTGCAAACCTTCACAGTCTGCAGTATCTGAGAGCTTTTCAGTACATCTTGCAAGCAGAACATTCCCTCCAGCTATGAAAACACCCCTTCAGAGAAGGGTATTGCCTAGTAGCAGTCTTACAAGTAAAACCTATTTCCTCGTCCTGACAGTCAGTCCTCAAAGCTTGAGAAAAGCATGTTACAGTTGAGCAGCACATACAGCAAATCTGCTCAGGGTTGAATGCAACCTGGCAACAAGTGCATGACCTCAGCCTCCCAGACACCTGTGCTGGCAACTTCTGCCTGAATACAGGCATCCATTCAAGTGTCCTCAGCCACCTGCAGCAATGGGACTGTAATGCTTTGTTCAGCACCATAAATACAGGCAGCAGCACAGTTATCCAAGTTTAAAATACACGCACATTTCTGCCACCCTTCTACTTTTAGGGTAGCTATTATATTGGATGCATAGGAGCAATATGTGAAATCATGTTTGAGACCCCCACAGATTTGTAGAGACAAAAACATTGAGTGGCATTTATCTGTGATCCCAGTGCCAGAAGCTCCATTGCCATTAGCTTGGAGATGGGAAGAGGAAGAAACCAGGTGCTGGTTCAAAACTGCTCTGACACAATGCCAGAAATCTGTGAAAATCAGTATGTTATTAGGAGCAATTAGCTTCCCAGTCTTGTGCTCTCAGACCCTGCCAGTTTTAATTTTACACTTAGCATCCAAAGGAGCAATTCATTGCTGCTTCCACACAAGGCTCTGCATAAACCGCCTAGGGAGATGGAACAGGCATATTCTTAGCATACACACAGAAAATTATTCAAGACCTCTTCATGCTTTTTCTCCTGCTTTCAAACCACTCTCCTGTATTAATCTCCATTCTTCACCTCTTTTCTTTCTCCTCCTTTTTAGTTTTTCTGTAGTCTCTTGTTCTTCCCTGTGGCCTTTTTTCCTATGCCACCCAGACAACAATACAGTGTAGTTTTTTACTGAAATTTTCAGAAAGGTGACAGTGCAAAAATAATTAAAAATATCCACACTTCATGAAAGTTGAAGTCCCCAGTGACAGGACTTTAGGGCACAGGACATTTTCCCCAGCTACATTTACAAGACCAAAATGCTTAGACCAAAGATTTCCACATTCTTGTGAATTCAAATAGCCCTAAAGTGCCTAAGATTTGTATTCACAAACCAAAAACTTTCCTGCAGGCATTGATTCCACAGCTCACCTTCTGCCCTCACATATCCACTAGCAGACACATGGCACCAAATAAAAAATAGATTTTCTTAAAACCAAAATTATACTTTAAAACAAAACAAAAATTTTTTTTTTATAAAAAGAGCAATAAATCTTCTTTCCTGACGGAGTGGATTCCATACAGATGAGTTTCAACAAAAGAAGCCTGACAAGTAATTTGGGAAGCCCGAATGTAATCACTCAGACTGAATCTGATGACAACCCAAGAGAAAATGCTCCTGTTTTGGTGGAAAAGATAAGATGGGAACTTTAAGTGCTCACAAGCAGTTAGGACCTTGCACATCATCCAGCAGGATGGGTGTCAGAAGCTGTGGAGTTCCCTGCGCCAGGGCCTTGCTGCCCGGGGCTGTCCCACACACACAGGAAGGTGAGAGGGACAGATGGGGGCCAGCTCCAGCCAAGAGCCAGGGAACCTCATGGTGATGAGGCAGGTCCATGCTCAGGCCAGGAAGTCAATCTGCTGGCCAGGGTTCAGGGTGATTGCCAGGCAGGGCCAGGCATGGCACACCCAGGGCCAGCACTCAGTGGGGCCTGGGGACTGCTCTGTCACAGCATCACTGGGTGGGAGGGGCCATGGGGGCTGCCATGGGGTGCTGGGCCAGGAGCAGGGGGGGAGCCCCAGTGGCCCGGCAGGGCTGGGGGTGCCTGGTGGTACTGTGCTCTGGGACTGCTTCTCATTGACCCTTAAGAAAAGTCCATGTCTTCTAAATGTGCTATGACACCTTCTGCAGTAAACTGAATTTTCTCTCGATGTTTCCCATCTCACTGTCATCAGACTTCACTTTAAACTTGGCCCACCAAACAGGAAACCAATTTGAAGGGATGTAAAGGTAATTCACTAGCACTGAGAGGGCAAATAACAGAAAACACAAAACCATCGTTAAAAACCTTCCTAAACTGAAGCATTGCATTAGAAATAAGAATGCTATTTATTAGTCTAGCAAAATACCATGCAAACAATAAATATCACTAATATTTAGACAATGATAGGG